CAATAGTTTCTAAAACCTGAAGTAGCTCATAGTGTCCCCCCTGATATGGAATAGGTGGTCACCCTAGATGCAACAGAGTTACGAGCGTCAGGTGCCCCTACCGCAGTGGCTGTGCCAAGGGCCCAGCCGTCCCGTCCTCTGACTGTGGTGATGGTTCCTCGCCGTCCCCGGTGGGCCGCAGGTGACGGAGCTCATCGGGCTGCACGGCGCTGTACCATGTGGCCTGGCTGTTGTCCGGTGTCAGCACGGGGCTCTTGGCCTCCTCCGGGGGCCCCTGTACCGTCTTCACCATGTTGACGGCGCTGACCGGCAGCTGGAGCAGACGCTGCATCGGAGTCATGGCTGGGCTTTGCGGTGTGGGGATCTACACCTGCAGCGAGGATCTCCACCTGCAGCGAGGATCTTCACCTGCAACGAGGATCTACACCTGCAGCGAGGATCTCCACCTGCAGCGAGGATCTTCACCTGCAACGAGGATCTTCACCTGCAACGAGGATCTTCACCAGCAGCGAGGATCTCCACCAGTCAAAAGATCGTACTCACAAGAGAGCCGGTTGAGCGGATGATCACAGCCAGTGAAAGTCCCAGCTGGAGAAAAGGACGGAATGAACGTGTGCAGGTTCAGTCACCCCTTGTCAAAGTTCTTCACAGATGTTTGCAGAAGCCCCGAGATAATCAGTACGAGTCCTCAAATGGAGGGAGGAGAGTTATGTTGGCCACCATCAGCTGTTGTTCCCACCTGAAAAGTAGGAGGACGAAACCCTTCAGTCATGAGAAGTCAGCAGCCTGTCCGTCTGAAGTGCTCTTGACTGCCCTCTGGCGGCCACAGGGGGTTAGACGCCAGTGTGGTACAACTCCTGGAGAGAGGTGACAGAAGCCGGCAGGATGGATGCCGAAACAGCAGCTTTCAGCCTAGAGTGGAGAAACCAGCAGGATTGCACCGGAATCTGCCTGATGGCTGGCTGCAGGGGGGGAGGGGGGTGTCCCGGCTTCCAGCTCCCCAGTCTTTTGGGGGGGTGAGGTTGTTCTGAGTCCACCTGCGCCTCTGACTCTCCCGGCTGCTGACTGCTAGGTTTCCTATCTGCCTTCTTGCTCCATAAAGGCAGCACAGCTCACTGGCTCCACCACACTCACCCCCCCCCCTTTCTCTCTCTCTCTCTCTCCCACACTCGCTCTCTATTTCCCTGTCTCTTCGTGACGAGTTCCCGAAGTGACTCAGCTTTCCGAAT